AGTATGAAAAAACCCCAGGTGCTGTACTTGCAAATCACTTGGAGAAAATCATATGGGAAGCTGCACAGTGAGGGTGAGTCTGAATGTTAAGACAACCATGTTGATCTATTTTTGTAAACCCTAGAGCCATCCTACACAGCATAATGTTATCATTAGCACTGAGTCCCCTGAGGGGTGAAAAAGGAGAGGAAAAAAAGAAGCAAACAAACAAACAAATAAATAATAAATATAATCAGACTAAATCTGCAGACTAAAGTGCTGATAAAGAATGGTACAGTAAGCATGATGGATTTCACCAAAAGGGCCTAGGTCTCACATCTCCTTGATGTTCACAAGTAATTCTGTGCTACCTGCTGTCCACTGGACAGTATTTGGGAGAATCTATATTCTGCAACTAGAGTTCCACCCTGGCCAATGCAACAAATGATGGGACAGCCCAGTCTTCCTCCTCGTCAGTGCATTATTTATTTATTTATTTATTTATTTCGGTTGCTTCTACCCCGCCCTTCTCACCCGGGGGGGGGGGGAGACGGGGACTCAGAGCGGCTTACAAAAGCAAGGCACAATTCGATGCCCGCATCACATAACAGCAAAAGACAATAAGGTCAGTTAACAGAGACAGCAATTCTAGCAATAACAACAATTAACAGAAAACAATAATTACTATAGGCAAAAACAACCATAAAACCAATAAAAGCTATAAAACCAATACAAACCTCATTGACAGTCAGCGTTTCACAATCTCATAGTTCCAATTCCAATTCCACAATTGTCCTGTCAGTCCTATCCATCCGGTTATCCATATCTAATTGTTAGATTGCCCAAAGGCCTGGTCCCACAACCACGTCTTCACCTTCCTCCTGAAGGAGAGGAGGGATGTTGATGCCCTAATTTCCCCCGGGAGTGAGTTCCACAGGTGARGGRYCACCACTGAGAAGGCCCTGCTCCTCGTCCCCACCARCCTCACTTGTGATAGYGGTGGGGTCGAGAGCAGGGCCTCCCCAGATGATCTCAAATTCYGGGGTGGGACGTAGAGGGAGATACGTTCRGACAGATACACTGGACCGGAACCGTAAAGGGTTTTGTAGGTCAAAACCAGCACCTTGAATTGTGCTCGGAATTGAACTGGCAGCCAGTGGAGCTGACACAGCAGGGGGGTGGTGTGCTCCCTGTATGTCGCTCCAGTAAGCAATCTGGCTGCCGCTCGCTGGACCAATTGAAGTTTCCGAACAGTCTTCAAGGGCAACCCCATGTAGAGTGTGTTGCGGTAGTCTATGCGGGATGTAACAAGAGCGTGGACCACTGTGGCCAGATCAGACTTCCCAAGGTACGGGCGCAACTGGTGCACAAGTTTTAATTGCGCAAAAGCTCTCCTGGCCACTGCGGAGACCTGGGGTTCCAGGCTCAGCGATGAGTCCAGGATCACTCCCAAGCTGCAAACCTGAGTCTTCAGGGGAGTGTAACCCCGTCTAACACAGGCTGTAACCCTATGCCCTGTTCGGCCTTACGACTGACCAGTAGGACCTCTGTCTTGTCTGGATTCAGTTTCAATTTGTTAGCTCTCATCCAGTCTGACACAGCAGCTAGACACCGATTCAAGGTCTGGACAGCCTCCTTGGTGACAGGTGAGAAGGAGTGACAGATCTGGACATCATCTGCATAGAGATAACACCTCAGTCCGAAACTCCGGACAAATACGGACAAATGCTATTCCAGATCCCTCAGCACTTCACTCTATGTACTGGCTATAAGCCTTGGAAAACAATGTTCCACCTGCAATTGTAACTTTATAATGTCGTTAAGAACGTTTTTCACAACTAAGAAAGGCAAAGAGCAAACTATAACATTCTGTATTACAGAGGGCAAAACCAGTTTAGCCAGAATAAAGCAGGGGTGTAACTTCAACATAACCACAGTGGGTGGGGATGATAGGAATCACAATCCAGCAACATCTGGAAGCCTAATTGTCTAACCACCACCAACACATAGGAACTCAAGTAATCTTTAAAAATTATAATTAACCATTATGCTTTCAATAGCCAGGTGTAAGATGCCTATCCCTGAGTTTCTGCTCCAAACCAGTGCCTCCCATGCTGATATAGGGGGACTGACAAACGTTTTGCATAATGGCAGAAAACTATATCATATTGATGCCAAATTGCTTTCTTCTTTCCTCAGTATTTTGCCAGAGACTGGCAGCCAGTTGGACTTTATTGTTGTAAACTGCTGTCCAGTTGACTTTGACCTATAGCAACTCTATGAATGAGAGACCTCCAAGTCACTGACAACAACAGCCCTGCTCAGGTCCTGCAAACTGTGGCATCATTAATTGAGTCTATAGACCTGTAACATGGCCTTCCTCTTTTCCTACTGCCTTCTACCTTAGCAAGCATTATTGTCTTTGTGTTGTGAAAAGCTTTCATGGCCAGAATCATGGGGTTGCTCTATATTTTCCGGGCTGTACGGCCATGTTCCAGAAGCATTCTTTCCTGGTGTTTCACCCACACCTACAGCAGGCATCCTCAGAGTACCTCACCTCTGAGGATGCCTGCCAATGATGTGAGTGAAACGTCTGGAGATAATGCTTCTGGAACATGGCCATACAGCCCGGAAAACTCACAGCAAACCATTACTGTCTTTTTTAGTGAGTCATGTCTTCCCACGATATGGCCAAAGTATGGCAGCCTCAGTTTAGTCATCATGGCTTATAGGGGGGATGGCTCTAGTACCCATTCATTTGCATTCTTCTGCAATCCATTGTATTCATACAACTCTTCTCTAGCACATTTCATAGGAGCTGATTGTCCTCTTATCACCTTTCTTCACTGCCCTGCTTTCACAACCATACCTAGAAATGGGTATGGTTGTAATATACAGAAAAAGTTCAATTAATTGGTGGACATGGCTATTGTAAAAATGTATAAATGTAGTTTCTGGTTGCTTAAGATGTACTACTAAAAATAGGCCTAACTAATAGTCTATCTATATCAGACACAGGCAAACTTGGGCCTTCTGGGTTTTGGACTTCAATTCTCACAATTCCTAACAGCCAGTAGGCTGTCTGGAATTGTGGGAGTTGAAGTCCAAAACACCCAGAGGGCCCAAATTTGTCCATGCCAGTTTTTGTTGTTTATTTGTTCAGACACTTCTGACTCTTCGTGACCCCATAGACCAGCCCAGGCCAGAGCTCCCTGTTGGCAGTGCCCCCCCCCCCAGCTCCTTTAAGGTCAAGCCAGTCACTTCAAGGATACCATCCATCCATCTTGCCCTTGCTCTTCCTTTTTTCCCCATTTTTCCCAGCATCATTTTCTTCTCTAAGCTTTCCTGTCTTCTCATTATGTGGCCAAAGCGCTTCATCTTTGCCTCCAATATCCTTCCCTCCAGTAAGCAGTCAGGCATTATTTCCTGGAGTATGGACTGGTTGGATCTTCTTGGGGTCCAAAGCACTCTCAGAATTTTCCTCCAACTCCACAGTTCAAAAGCATGTCTCTTCCTTTGCTCAGTCTTCCTTATGGTCCAGGTCTTGCATCCATCAGTGGTGGCCCCTTGACTCTGGAACTCACTTCCTTAAGACATCAGATAGGCTCCAACTCTGGCAGTTTTCAGGAGGAGCTTGAAGACGTGGCTGTTCCAGTGTGCCTTCCCGGAATAATGATCCCATAGCACTTTGTCCAAAGCAGTTTACATTTCTTTAAGTCTGCTCGAATGCCCTTCCACAAACACCAGTATCACCTTTTGTTCATCTCCCAGCATTATTTCCAATTTTAACTCTACATTTCGCCTTCCCACTGTTTTTAATTATGTGTTGTTTTATTGATAATGTTGTGTATTTTATTGTCTATGTTTTTTTCTTTTTTAATTGCCTGTATTGTTGTTATTATTGCTTGTATTGTTGTGTTTGGGCTCGGCCTCATGTAAGCCGCACCGAGTGCCTTGGGGAGATGGTAGCGGGGTACAAATAAAGTGTTATTATTATTATTATTATTATTATTATTACCACCATAAACTCTGTACTGACTTAATACTGAAATACAGTAATTAAATGTAAATAAAGATCAACTTAATTTATTTATTTATAAACTAGCCATCCCCTCCCGCGCACTGCTGTGGCCCAGTCTGTGTATATGTGTTTTGTGTGTGTATATATGTGTATTTGTGTATATATGTGGTTTTGAGCATGCGTTGCAATGTGTTTTTTGGCTTTTAAAGTCTCTTCTGCTGTGTTTTTCAGTGTTTTTTATGAGTGATGGTCACTCGTTGGCCTGATAGTTGTCTTGTGTCCAAATTTGGTATCAATTAATGCTGTGGTTTTTGAGTTCTGTGAATCCCACAAACGATCATTACATTTTTATTTATATAGATGTCATAAATGAATATTGAAATACAGTAATTAAATGTAAATAAAGATCAACTTAATGTGACATTGTTTCATTTTACTGTATTATGTTGTTGTTGTTGTTCATTCGTTCAGTCGTCTCCGACTCTTCGTGACCTCATGGACCAGCCCACGCCAGAGCTCCCTGTCGGCCGTCACCAGCCCCAGCTCCTTCAAGGTCAGTCCAAGGATGCCATCCATCCATCTCGCCCTTGGTCGGCCCCTCTTCCTTTTGCCTTCCACTTTCCCCAGCATAATTGTCTTCTCTAAGCTTTCCTGTCTCCTCATGATGTGGCCAAAGTACTTCAACTTTGTCTCTAGTATCCTTTTACTGTATTATGCAAACAGCTTTTTTCATTCAAAATACTAATTCTTCCATTTGTTTGGGCGGTTCTTTGAGAACTCCTTTTGTACCTTGACCAGCTTCAACCAGCACTGATCGAACCTCAAGCACACTCAGTACCAGCTTGAGGCCTCCGCGCATGCGCGCCAAAGAGCTCTTCATACTCTCTGGTGCAGGCCGGCCCCTCCTTCCTGTTTCCCCGCCCCCTGTCTCTGAGTGACAGGTCTCTGGTCACGTGGGCGCTGCTGCTCCTCCCTCCCCCCCTCCTCCCACCCCGTTTCAGTCCGTCCGTTGGCCGAGCGAGGGCTCCGTCCAGGCGCGCGCAGGACACTTCCGTCGACTGACTGCGGGGCGCGCGTTGTTCTGGGGCGGCGTGGCTCTCTGTCTCTCTCTCTCTCCTTGGCGCGCGAGCTCGCCCGCGCCGCTTCCCAAAAGTTACTTTAGTTGGGCGACGAAGAAGAGAAGGAGGAGGAGGAGGAGGAGGGGCCGCGGCGGCGGCGAGGGCGACGGTTGCTCTCTTCACTCTCCGACCGGGCTCGCAAGTGTGGCCAGATGGGCCGGCGCGGTTGGAGAACCCCTGACTGAGGGAAAGTGAGGGCGGAGGGGAGTGGGGAGGGGGGAACCCTCCGCCTTTCCTTTCTTTGCCTTCCTTCCCGGCGGGAGTCAGGGCCCGGGCCCTCCCCGCCCTCCCCCCGGAGCCTTCCCTCGGCCCTGCTGCCTGGTGGGAGCTTTTCCTCCCTCGGATTTGCTCGTTTGTTTGGGATTAATTGCTGGAGGAGAAAGCAAGAAAGTTGACTGCGACTACAAGCTGTGCCTGGACCTATAAAGCGAAACTCGGAAGTGCCTCCCTTTCCCCCGTTCTCCCTCTCTCCCTCGTACAAGGAAGGACTTTCCTCCCCGAGTAACTGGATAACCCAAGTGGTAGGATGACATCTCTCCTGGATCCCAGGATCAAACAAGCTCTGAGGAAAAAGCCAGCCGAAAGAACTCAAGAGGTAACTGTTCTGCCAGACCTGCTTCCTCCTCTTCCTCCTCTTCTCATCGCGTCCTGTTCCTTTGCTTTAGAATATGGCAAGGATTCTTTGCACACGGTTCTTACTTCCACGTTAGAAGATGCGTGTCCAGCATTCACACGTGATAGGTGTATTTATTTATTACTATATCTACATATACCGCCTTTCTCATCCTAGGGGGTTTGCAACATACTAATGGCAAAAATTCAATGCCAACATACATGTAGACAGAAAAAAAACCTTTTTTTTCATGTCAGGAGCAATTTGACAAACTGCAAGTCGCTTCTGATGTGAGAGAATTGGCCGTCTGTAAAGATGTTGTCCATGGGACACCCGAATGTTTTACCATCCTCTAGGAGGCTTCTCTCATGTCCCCACTTGAGAAGCTCAAGCTAACAGATAAGAGCTCACCCTGCTCGCTGGATTCGAACCGCCAACCTTTCGGTCAGCAGTCCTGCCAGCATAAGAGTTTAACCCATTGCGTCACTGGGGGCTCCATCATAATAACTAAAGGCTGACATATAACTATAAATTAAAATCATTAAAATCATTAAACATAAGACATAAACACAATTTAAGCATTAAAAAAGCATTTAAACATCCTAGTATAAATATTGAAATGACCAAGTCCAAAAATGGTGGGATTGGTGTTGCTCTCTGTGATGTTTTTGTGATGGCTTCATGGCTGATATTTCTGTGTGGGAGTGAAATGTGTGTATGCCTATGTGTATCTGACAGTGTGGATGTAGACAGAAGATTATTCGCACAGAAAGTCGTCTCGAGAAAAGTAAAACAACAACAAGCCCAAATGGGACATTGATGCAGTTATGCAACTCTTGGGGTTTTTTTTAAATGGCAGATCTGCTGCATTTTTTAAATCAGGCCCTGTTGCCTCTTGTGAATCTTTCAGACATTAAGCATAAGATTCCCATTTCTTATGCAAAGAGGAAGAGACTAGACTCCTGGTAGCATGGGATGGGTGTGCATCATTAAGAGATGAATATTGGTTTCAGCTTGAGAAAAAAAAAAGCTTGAGAAGCAGTAGTGTATCCTGTATCCAACAGAAAGCAACTGCTTGTTTAAGACACGTTCAGTATTGAAATATATATTAGTGTGCTTACTAACTAGATGAGTAGAAATTTGTTTGGAGCTGCATTGCTGCACCCATTGTCTTGCAGTAGGTCCTATTGAACACCAATTGATTTTGTTTGTCAAGACAAAAAAAAGTAATGTAAATTTTCTGAAACACTAGCTTGGGTAAGCTAGAGGCAGCAATGCTTTGGGTTTTGTGTATTTAAGTTCATTTTAATAGGATTTTGCATTCTCATATTCTGTTTAAAAGTATTGAATGGAGCCTTTTGATTTGCTTTTCTGTACTGTGATTGCATGAGGTAGGGAGAGGAAGAAAAGGACAGGATAACAACAAAGTCACAGTTGATTTCCTATGAGACAGGGAAACATCTGTTCTGTTAATATTTCAGGCAGCAAGAAGCAAAAGCAAAAACTTACTTTGGACAAGTTCCTTTTTTTTGTAAAAATGTTGCCATGAGACATAAAATAGCTGTGTGTCTTTCTTTCCATTTTCTCTTTAACATTTTCATGTTCTCATATTACTGACCTGACATTGCATTGAAAATGTGTTTTTAAAAGATTTCCTTTGCTTCCATTATAATTAGTCCATTTCACCATCTTTTAGTAGTATTTTATACATTTGGATTCTTGTGGTTATTCCTTGGGAAATTCTTCTTTTTCCACAGTTAGGTTCATAGTCAGAGTTATTATGGTATGTTGTTGTTGTTTGTTCAGTCGTTTCCGACGCTTCGTGACCTCATGGACCAGCCCACGCCAGGGCTCCCTGTTGGCTGTCACCATCCCCAGCTCCTTCAAGGTAAATCCATTCACTTAAAGGATGCCATCCATCCATCTTGCCCTTGGTCGGCCCCTCTTCCTTTTCCCTTCCATTTTCATCAGCATAATTGTCTTCCCTAAGCTTTCCTTTCTTCTCATGATGTGGCCAAAGTACTTCATCCTTGCCTCTCCTGTCCTTCCCTTCAGTGAACAGTCAGGCTTCTCCTGAAGTATGGACTGGTTGGCGGTCCAAAGCACTCTCAGAACATTCCTCCAACACCACAGTTCAAAAGCATCTATCTTCCTTCCTTAAGCCTTCCCTATGGTCCAGCTCTCACATCCATAGGTGACTATGGGGAACACCGTTGCTTTAACTATGCGGATCGTCGTTGCCAGTGTGATGTCTCTACTCTTCACTATTTTATCGAGATTGGTCATTGCTCTCCTCCCAAGAAGTAAGCATCTCCTGATTTCCTGGCTGCAGTCTGCATCTGCAGTAATTCAGTCTGTCACGGCCTCCACGTTTTCTTCCTCTATTTCCCAGTTATCAATCATTCTTGTTGCCATAATCTTGGTTTTTTTTATATTTAGCTGCAACCCAGCTTTTGCGCTTTCTTCTTTCACCTAGATTAGAAGGCTTCTCAGCTCTTCCTCGCTTTTGGCCATCAAAGTGGTATCATCTGCATATCTAAGGTTGTTAATGTTTCTTCCAGCAATTTTCACCCCAGCCTTGCATTTTGTCAAGTCCTGCACATCGCATGATGTATTCTGCATACAAGTTGAATATGTATAGGGTATTATGGTATAGGGAAACTTAATTTCTGTACAGCATATTCAGCTTGAGTGTGAGTAAGATGGAAAAGGAACAAAGCATTTGTTTGAAAGCAGCAAAAGTCATAGGCACCTAAAACATTTGATTCTGTAGTCAAGAGTCAGAGATTGTAGCCTGTCTCTCTCTGTCCCAGCTTCTCTCTTCAAACCGTTTCTCTCTGCACATGCATAGCTCAAGCCTAAACAAAAATGAAACAATATCCAAAAGTCCCAGGCCCAGCCATCTCCCCGGTTACTTCCTTACCAATCAGCTTCATGCATCTTATTTTTCAGTTGACACACGCATACTCACTGATTCCTTGCATGCTCCATCAGTTTTAATCTGTTTGATTGATATGTGTTTTAATTACTTTCATATTTAGATTTTTTATATTTTGATAAGATGTGTCGTATTGTTTTCCTGTATGGCATTGAATTTTTGCCAGATTTGTAAGGCACCTTGAGTCCCCTTTGGGGTCAAGAAAAGCGGGGTAGAAATGAAGTAAATAAATGAATAATAGTCCAGACACTCAAATAGGATTTGGTGGATGGCTGTCAGGTAAAGGGCCATTTCAGTGGTGATGACTGGTTATGAGATGCTTTTCCCAGAATGGCTCTCCTGCTGCTATTCTGTAATCTTTCTCGGGGCAGAGCAAACTTTGGAATTATTTTGTGGGTCCTTGATCACAGTAATTGTTTTAGATTTTTTGCTTTGAATTTTAAAATCTATATTGTTTGTATTGCGATTGGTTTATTTTATTTGATATTTACTTAGAATTTAGAATGTTAACTTTTGTAAATTGATTAGGGATCAGTGCTGAGTGGATGGCACATAAGTGTTGATAATAAATAAAGTAATCTGAAATTACTTTAATCCACTGAAAAGATATACTGGAGAGACTTTGGGTATAAGCAAAGATAAGCAAAGATAAACCATATGTCTTATAGGGAAAAGTTGGTATATCTTGAGTACTTATGCTACATATGACCTTGGGTTACCAGTATTTTCTTTATTTGTTAACTGCTATTGAATCAGAATGTTCCAGTTTCATAGAAATTAGGAACTTCACAGTGAGGTTTAAAAAGTGGAAGGATCAGAGTGGGATTCAGCCTCCCTGAATCTCCTTAGGGAAAGAGGGTGGGTTAAAAATAAAGTTTATTATTATTTGATACATGACAAGATCAATACACAGCAAACAAGATCACTATGCTGGCTTTTGTATTTGATCACTCTTTGGACACTTCCCAAGTTTCCAGGCTCTGTGATGTATTGGCGAGTAATGTGTTCAGATCCAAGTACGGTGGCCCTTTGCAGCTGACAGATGGTAATTTTGTCAGCACTGATTATTTTTAAGTGCAGGCCAAGGTCTTTAGGCACTGTACCCAGTGTGCCGATCACCACTGGGACCACCTTTACTGGCTTGTGCCAGAGTCTTTGCAGTTCTGTCTTTAAATCCTCATATGTATAAGCATTTCCAGTGGCTTCTCGTCAATTCTGCTGTCACTTGGGATTGCAACATTAACAATCCATATTTGTTTATTTTCCATGATTGTGAGGTCAGGTATATTGTGCTCCAAAACTCTGTCAGTCCGAATTCGGAAGTCCCAGAGTACTTTGATATGTTCGGTTTCCGTAACTTTTTCAGGCCAGTTCTTTGTCACAGGCAGATGGTATTTGTGGCGCAAGTACCAATGGATCATCTGAGCAACTGTGTTGTGCCTCTGCATATAGTCCGTCTGCATGATCTTCTTGCAGCGGCTGAGTATGTGATCCACTTAAAATCTATCAGTGGCTTTTCAGTTCTGGCTTTGATAAGATTTGTTCTAATTGCTTGTTCTTGGGCTGCAAGAATCCCCCCCGCCAATCTTCTTTTTCAAAGTTCCATTTGTGAGCTGCATCCATGTTTGTTGTCAATTTTCCCCAGGAACTGTCCATGGAGAGCCTTCTGTTGCCAGTTTTCTCTTTTGCTCTGCATTGTATTTTTACGGTATTCACTCTTTGTCTTTTGCACTTTAAGCAGTTTTCTACTGTTGATTTCCAACAGTGTTGTTTCTTGACTGCCTTTCACATAATTTGCCAGTGCAAGTTTCTGTTATTATTTTTATCATCATCACATGAAAATTCTGTGACTAGAACACAGTTTTTTAATATTAAAAAAAATCAAAGTAGCAGTGGACACTCTGTGCACCAGGTGAGTTGATTTGTGGAGGGAAAGTTTTTTCTTTATTGTTATTTTCCTATTATTAATTATGTCTTTGAACCAGTTACTTGCCCCTTTTCTCTGAAGTTTACTAGTGAAAGCAAATGCTGCTTTTGGGGAGGG